TGCTTTTCATCACAAAGTCACTAACCCTTTGTTTTATATTACTGACCTGACCCCAGGAGGAGGTGTACCATTCAAGACATGGCTGAAGGTTACAGGACATCGTTGTTTGGGGCCTGGAGGACATGGCTCGGCAGTGGAAAGGTCGAAGGGGTCTTTGGTCCCTCAGGTCAAAGCAATGAACCTCCCGCAATTTAATGCCACCTTCACAATTGTTGGAGCACTGTGAAAACACATGGCCCAACAATTAGAGACAGAGTAGAGTCTTCTGGCACTGTGCTCCCCCCCAAATTAGACCACGTGTTTTTTGTACCAGCAGACTTGCTCCATTTAAAGGCCTTTAAGCCAAACTGTCGTCTTTTCCACTTTTTGTTCATCTTTTTTCTGTTGTGCCTGAAAGAGCACATGCCAGGAAGCAGTAACTATGCGTTGTGTTGAGCTTACCAGTAATAGTTTTGTGTAACAGTTGAGAAACGGCTGCAATTTCAGTGTGTTAGCCCATTTTCAATGTAATGTTAGCCTTGAGCTAACTGCTAGACACCTGGGGCAAATAATCAGTAAAGTTTTCGGGATATATTTTGTGTTTACGTGAGATGTGCATGAAGTTTAATGACTCAGTGTTTGATATTGTAAAAGCAAGTCAATGACATCATAAATATAACGTGTTGTTTTTTTCTTTCTGTATCACAGTGCTTCTGACAGTAAACAGTTAAAATGTACCAGCTGACTCCTGGATGCGGACTTGTTGTTAGAAATCAGCTTCACACCTTAGTGAAGGCAGAAAAGGCTTCACTTACTTCCAAGGTCTACAAAGAGCAGAAAGTCTAAAGAGGATGAATCATCAGCAACACTTTCAGTATAAAGAGCAGCTTTATTGTCTTGCTCTTTATTAGCTTGTAGCCTTCATTAGGGTAACCCATGAATATAAAGAAGCTTATTTGCAATGTGATTTTAATGTGTTTTTTCCACCCCAGAAAGCTGGTATCTAGTCAGGTTAGTCAATGGATGGCTTTAAAAATGGATTACCAGCAATTCTTGTTGCCTTTAATTTAGTATAACTTAAACCAGATGATCAGAAGTGTATTAATCCATGAAATCTTTAAACAGCAGGCACAACTTTCTTCTCATTTCCCAACCTGTCCAAAAAGGTACAACTTTAACCTATCACTCTCAGTTTTACACAGAGAGCTGGAAACAAGAAGATTTAACACAAACAAAATGATGGTTTTCTTCTGCCTTTTGTACCATTTCCATATGGTGCTCGTTTTCTTACCCAAATCTACGTTTACAGAACTACACAACTCGATTTCTTCCGTTGTATGGAACAGGTCCATTCCAAAAATATTTTCACATCACTCGTTTCTCTAGTGCTGGTTTAACTTACTGGGTTGGACAGACGACCCATAAGTATACATGCATTTGGTCTTTCTTCTGTCTTCTCTCTTCTACCCCATTACAACAGAGTCAAACTGTCTCTGTATGTATTATTGTAGGATCTACCTGCCTTGAGGCGACTGTTGTTGTGATTTGGCGCTATATAAATACAATTGAACTGAATTGAACTGAACTTGGCACAGAAACAATGGTCTAGCTCTTTTTTAAGAGATCTTTTTGTAAAATGAACACTCGTGTTTACTTGAGGCAGATTTATTTATGAATTGGTTTTTTATAAATATTTTATAAATTAGCAGTTTTCTTAGTAAGCATTTCAGGCTCCAATACCTAACAGCCAGTAACGATATGGATGAAAATCTTGGTTTACTTCTATGCAAAAGGTAATATGTCTAAAGTCTGCACTAAGATTGAGAGTATGAATCCATCCTCGTAGGGAAAAACAAAGGTGCCATGGCAACAGGATCTAACACTGACCTCACCGGGGAATGTTTTCATATTTCTCTTTGCATTAAACAAAGTCTGATTCAGTTTAAATTGATACATCATTTGCACTGCTCAACGGTGAAACTTGTAAAAAAACATATCCTAATGTTACCCCAGCATGTTTACACT